CGAGAGTTCCGGACATCAAGCAACGGTATAGCCGGCCCGAAGTTGCTGCACGGACATTAGTTCCGTCCAGCTTGGCTTTCGATTTTTCTTCACCTTGTGAACAAATCGGCGGGACCACGCGGCTTCGTTTGTGCCTCTGACGAGTAGTGCTGCCGAGTCGCAGAGTCAGATTAATCGGAGCCCTTGTCGACGGGTTCCAGAAGATAACCTAAGGTATGGCGCTGGCGAGGCGTTACTTTATGCAAGATCGGGGTGAACTTGCCAGCAACTCGGTCGTTCCGAGCCAAGCAGCCAGGGTCCAGCGGGCTTCACCGACAACATCTTCTCGGTCGGAAGGTGACAATTCAGTCTCATGTATTTTGTCCAGCATACGTCCCCGGTAATCCCTTGACGGAGATTTCCTACCGCTGTAGATGGCGCCCAGCAAGAGTCAACTTTGTCATTTGCAAAAGGAGCTTCGCCAGTCAGTTCTCAGGGTCCATCTAAGCCATCAAGTGGCTCATGCCGGGCCTGGCAGGTCCGAATCGTAGATGACATGATGGCAGAGGCCGGTGGCTCAAGGTCAAGCAAGAGTGGCTGATCGGTGAGCAAGATCTCGCCAATCTACCCGCCCTCGTCGCCCCAACACCATTTCTCTGCGGTTTGCTTCGGGCATCTCGCATGTCGTCTGTCACTGGCCGAGTCTTTGGCGTGAGGAGATACAGTACGCGGCCACGATAGGGTTCTCGGGAAAAGAACTCTCGGGTCTAGGTCGAGGGAACTTTAGCACCCAAGAACATCGAGGTGATTCTGATGTAATTCCATCCGGAGCTTGAAGTTGCCGTGCAAGAAGGGTGCTTGCTACTCAACCAAGCGAGGGGATTACAAATAATAATCCCTTTAACTGACTGAAGAGAGTTTGGGTGATAGAGGGGACGTCCACCTAATTGTTGAAGTCGCCACGACCGGGAACTCGCGCTGGCGGCCGCTCGTCTCAAGATGGTGGTCTGTGGGCTCCAGCTTTCTGGATCTTAGTCAACAAGGTTGCCCAACCCTGCCCTGCCCTGCCATGTCTGCCTGCCAGCTTCTGTCAAACCCGGAGTTACAGCTCAAGAAGATCTGGGGTAGCGGCGAATGGGCACGCGTACAGACCACGCACTTCGCCTCTCACTACCGTTCCACGCGACAGCACGTCCCATGACAGTCCTGCTGGGTTGCGTTACAGCTTCATCATAGCGACATCAGTGGTAGATCATTGGATGGTGTGCGGGATCTGCGAGTAGCACAGAGATTAACTCTCGGAGACCCTGGAGACGGGAGCCAATGCTGTCGGGGCTGGCGACGTCATACTGAGGCGTCAGTCACTTGCGAAGTCGGGAATAATGAGTTGGGATGGGAATGTCTGTTCGCTTTGGCCGAGGATGCAGATAATTCCCATGATGATCAACTGTGGGTTGTGAAACGAGAGCTCGGCGTGGCGTGAGGCGTGGCTCAGGGCGCCGAGGACAGGAAACTTGGCACAACACACCCGAAACGAGTCTAGCATGAGCTTTGCTGCAACCAGGGGGAATTTGTTAGTGCAGCTTTGTACCTCCATGTACCAGCTTGTGGTCCTCAACAGAGAGCCATCACAGCAACTCGGGGAATGCGTGCCGGAGAGAATGGTCCGGGCTAAAGAGGCAGGGATCCAACCACAACTCACAGCCAAGGAGCAACAAGATGTTCAGGATCAAGGAAAGCAGGGCAATTGTTCGAGGTGCTGTACAATATCAGAGCGGATTGATCCTGTTGCTCTGGTTTCACGACCTCGTTCGTAGCCGCTGTGCATGTTTGCGGAATGCATCCTGCATGAATGGAGATGTCGGAGCCTCGGGCAACAAGAGAGGTATCGTTCAACCCTCTCCTTGAACCGCGCAATCATTGCCACAGGTTTACAGCATGGCCCGCAATTTGGGCATGGGCATGAAAGGCAAGGGAGAAGAAGACTGATCGTGGTTAAGGTGAGGATGGTCGGATGCGCTGGGAGCTTGTATCAAGAAGGAGCCGCATGGTTGGTCACTGGAGATTTGCGGCAAGGTAGCGCTGATGGCGGTTGACCAGCTAGAAGCTTTTAGGTCAGGCCGGCGGGGTCTTGGTAGGTCCTCCACTCCATCTACACGCAGCTCCCACGAGATCCTAGCCCAGCTCAGCCTGGTTCAAAGATTCAGTTTAATCCGGTTCAGTCGCGGAGGGCGAAGCATCAGCCTGTTACTTGCGTGTAACTTGCATTGCCTACCTCGTGGCATCATAGCCCAACCATGGCCAGCATCGACACCTGATGTGTACATGCCGAATTCACGGTCATCCTCGGGCCCGATACCTCTCGGGCGCTAGGAGAGAATCACCAAGGGCCGGCCGGCAACTCAAATGATCGTAATGGGCCGTCAGGAGAAAGTAGACGGCCCTGGCCCCCACCGTTCTCCAGGGCCTGGACCGGCTCCGTCCCCTCCCATAGGGCCTTGGCCATCTTGAGCTTGGGCACACCTGCGGCGCGATTCCCTGCCAACGGCACCGCCTGTCTGGATCACCCATTTCGCCTTGGTGGTGTCGGGACCGATGGTACTGCGATGTGCGAGCTCCTTTGCTTCAGCCCCTCAACGCTCTCCATCGCTACTAACGCGTCCCTGACGATGCATTGATGCGGGAACAACGTCGCTGGATCGAGGAGCAGCCAGCAGCGTCTTGTCGATTGATTGCTGCAAATGTACAGACAGTACGAAGCCCAGTCCCGCCAACGGCTCACCTCGCCATAACTTTCCCGCGTCATGCCGTGTATTGTGCCATGGAGGCCAGACAATGCCACGAAGCGTGCACGAATTCGGAAGCTGGGGAAGTGGCATAAAACGGAACCGGCTCCGAGTCCAATGGAGCAAGGAGAAAACTCATGGAAAACAAGGAACTGGATCACGATGCAGTACCCAAGCTACCATTTCCCTGGATGAACGTCCCATTCTTCTGCGCCCATAGCTGTCTGTGCCAGACAAGCGCCTTTCTGGCTGACTACCACGCAGGGTTGACATCTGATAGTGCCAGTCCCCCAGTCGGAAGAGTTGCTCCGTCCAGTTCAAGTTTGCCATGATGGATTTCGTACGGGAACGGACCAAAGCAGCCGATTGTTTGTTTTGATGGTCCTTCTCTGAATCACGATCTGAGCAGCCGAGTCTACAAAACGTGGGCTCAAGGAGCAATGTCTTATCAGCCGATGGCCTAGTCTCACTGCGATGGGAGGGCCGCGGCAACTCAGACTGGATAGCCTCTACCAAGAGATTATGGAGACGAGAGTCAAAGCCCACGCAGCACGCTATCGGTGGTCTGCAGAGACGGAACACTTTTCCCCATCGTATGAAGGCCACTCCACCTCCTCACCGGGAAAAAGGAGAGTCTGCCTGACAGATCCTGGACATGCCGGCAGCTCAGGATGCTAACGGGGTGCCTTGGTGCAATGCAGCACGGCCTTGCACACCGGGCTCACTACGGCGAGTGCGGTGCCAATGCAGATGGAGAGAGAACCAGGCCAGACGGGTTGCCAGGCGTCCAGGTTGCTCAAGAGTTCCGGGTGAGACCGCAGGAAAACGGCAAGACTAAGGTTGTGATAGAACGGCATGGTGACAGGGATGCCACCCGAAGGGTTCTTTTGAAGAGAGTTCTGGCACAACGCAGAACTATGATTGCAACCTGGCAAAGGGGATGTAAGTTCTGATGGGCTTCTCAACTGCAAGACAAGACAACCTAGGTAGGCTAGGCAAGACAATGGAACCTTGGATGGCATGGGCGGCCGCGCACTTTGCAATCCTCTCACCAGATATGGCAGCGGCTGGGGGAAAGCATGCATTGACAGTAAATGGCCTTGTTTCTTTCACCCAGGCAAGTCCGGCTCGGCCTATTGACCAAGTCAGTTTCGAGGCGTCCAATGTTAGATGCATGTGGCCTGGCGGAGAGGTCCAAATCCAGGGCGACTGAAGACCTCAAGCTCAAGGGCGTATTGTGTGGGCTTCTCTGCATGGTTTATTGCCTCTTGCTGTCGTCCCGGAATATGGCAGCAGATGCAGATGTGCATGGCATTCGTTCCCGTCGCCATCTTCTTGTTATCCATCCATCCATCCCGACTTCACCCTCCAGCTTCCTGGGACTGGAGCTTGGGTGCGGTGCACCAGGGTTAATGGTGGTGCAGCGGCTCGCGCTGGAGGTGGGCCGACATGAGCCACTCAGGGGAGGTCGGAGGTGGTCCGGCGGGGCATGTGCAGGCCTCTGGAGGGGCCTAGCTCTCGATACGGGGCAGTACATGTGCCATGGCCCAGGCGCTAACAACGACCTGCTCATCGAGATCGATCGTCATAGCTACGCTCGATTCAACGACGCTCGATCGCTCAGGATCGAGCTACACGTCCTTTTAGCGCCTGAGACGTGAGATGAGATGTCTCTTTTTTCTTCTTCTGCAGGAGAGTCTTTCTATGGGTGTGGTTTGTAGCTGTCCTGCCCTGTCCGTATATAACCCAAAGTACGGCCCTGCCGACCTGCTATGCCCGTCTGTTACCTGCTTGTCGGTTCTTATTCTACCACTTTGGATACCTCCTGCAGTTTGGCGGTCCTTTCTGCTGCATCCTCAAGCTTAATTCCATCCACTGCCAACCACATGCCACAGAATCTAAACCATCCAACAAACCCTCGATTTCAGCCACATGCAGCAATATTGTCGCCTTGCACACCGATTTAATGCGAACGGGATAGCTTAGCATCTTTCCAAACAACACAGGGGAAATACGGAACTACGTCTCTCGGACTCGCCTCGTCTATATCAACCCTCGGCAGAACCGACTTGATTTCAACTCCTCCTCCCTCCCATCCACATCTACCGAACAGTACAGTACAATCCTTGGCAATCCTCCGCCTGCAGAATCCAGGCGGGGTGTACCTAAGATTCTTTCTTCAACAATATTTCAACTTCACTCAACAAGTAACACCAAACACCTTCACTCTTTACAATGCCCAAGAGAATTCGCGAACCCCAAGACACTGGTGAAAAGACACAGCCGCCTGTGCGCAGAGTAAGGGAGCCCCTCCCCGCTGGCCCAACACAACAGACATGACTGACTCGAAACCTCTTGGTAAAGGCCACCGAACGTTCCCACTCCGAGAATCAGGAACGCGCATACATTGCCGCCTCGAGGCGCGCAGATCGGAGCATCGAGGCACGGGTTCAGTCAGCCCGCAATGCCAGCGAGATCCACAAGAAGAGAACGGGCAAGGCCTTTCGCATCACCGAGGAGATCGTCATGAAGGAGGAAATGTACGAGGAAGAGGACGACGAATTCCCCCGCTCCTACCGGCTCCTCAACCCACACATGCAAACCGCCAACCCAGAGCTCAATGCTAGAGTCGACGCGTATCTGAGTAACAAGGTTGCTATGTCGACGCTGATCACTGCTACTGAAAACGACTGGCGCAACAACGAGATCAACACAACATTTGACCAATTCTTCCCCAACGTCCAGAGTCGGGCCAGGGCTGCTTCTCAGTGGTCCACCAGTCAGGGCTTCTTACCGCAGACGCTTCACTCGCCCGTTGCGACTCCACGAGTTCTAAGTGTTGGCGAGCAGCATTTCAACATGCAGTTCCATCCCGTCAACTACGGGCACCCAAACAACGGACAACAAAACAACGGAAAGCCAAACAACGGGCAACAAAACAACGGACAGCCAAAGAGTAGACAACCAAGCAGCGGGCAACAAAACAATGGACAGCAAAACAATGAGAGACATCTATCCACAGCTAGCTTACCGGTATCCCCTACCGAGGACAGGAACAACGTCCCCATGTCACCCCCAGCTCTCACTCCTGGGTCCATGTCCCATCCAGAAACACCTCGGTCTCGCCACGGGTCGGCATTTGTAGCCACACAATCCCAATCTTACAATACTAGGGGTTTCGACTCGGAGAGTTCGTCGTTTACTTCACAGCTACCTCCTGAAGCGAGGATGTTTTTGGGTGGCGTTGGTCTCGGCAATCCCTATGGCCCCATGTACCATGAGCCTCAAATGTGGCCAGCCCAGAGTTTCAGCTTGGATGCTGGCGCAGATCCTACCCAGTTCTTTGGTTATACCCCTGATACCAAGCCCCTTAAGGAGGGTGAGACCACGGAGGCTTCTGGGGGCGAGCAATACCCAGACCCTTTCACGATCATGAACTGGAATGGTCAAAACGAATCTGACTCTCCAGCTCAGAACGTGAGCTGGAACAACCAAGGCGACAGCCAACGCGAATCTGACTCTCCGGCTAAGAAGACGGGCTTGAACAACCAAGGCGACAACCAAGGCGACAAGCAAGACGAATCTGACTCCCAAGCTAAGAACGTCCTCGAAGAATGGGAGACGTACATTGATGATAGCGCCTTCAGCAGCAGCCAGAAATGATTCTTCGTCCATTAATTTCGACCGAGTCTTTCATACTATTGATGATTTAACGACACTTGTTTCGGACTGAGCGTGGTGCGCAACAAACACAAGGTTGCGATGCATACACACTCACCTTTCTCAAAGCCGACCATGGTGCACCAGGCGTTGGGGACAGTCACTTAGGATACCAAGGGAAAACATACGGATAGGGAGGCTTTGGCTGCATTTATTAGAAGTGCCAAAAGGCTTCCATGGACATGGAGTCGGCGTACACGTTTGCTTTGCATTTTGTCGGACATATTTCTTGGTACTAGAGGTTGCGAGCTGAGGACGATGCTACGGCATGGTGTGTTCAGGGGTTGCCGTTCTCCTCCATCCTTTTTTTGTTATTGTTGTTGCTGTTGTCCTGCACAACCAGGACATACATTTTTGGGGTCTTGTCATGCATTCATGATACCTAGGGCACACTACATGGGAAAACTGATGGAGTAGAGGCATTCATCACATGTGGCATTCATACAAGAAGGTCAGGAGGCGATGATAGGTAGGCGTTGCGGAATAACAGTACACGCCAAGCAAAAACAAAATAATAGTAAAATTTACTGAGAAGACACGATGCGTTTCGAATTGGTGTTTGAGTGACCTGACCAAGTTAGAAAGGAGGCATGGATGGGTTGAGAGTAGCAGGCTGCAGTGGGCACCCACTTCGTTGCCCTCACTCCATGTGATCCCTACATTATGAAAAAGATATCACGATCTGTCAGTCGACAGGGTAACAATATCCATACAAGACAGCCACTCAGAGCCCGTGCTTCAGCTGTTTGACGAGATGAGACGGGTTCGGTGCGATAGTCTAATATGGCTCCTTTGATAATTAATCCCGCTTCCTTTATTATCGGCTGGATGAATGGATGGGATGAAAGCCAGAGGCTCTACCCATGTGCGCTGATGATTGGCTCGTCGACACGGGGCTGCTACTACTATCAAACAAAGAGGAAAAGGGTTTAGTTATCTGAGAGCGAACACCCATGTTGTCGATCACGCTGTGGCTTCGCATTGTGCGTTGAGTGTGAAGATTGAGGGGTTGCAAAGTTTCTGGTGATGGCTTCAGCAGGTAACCAACAGGAGAGACACTTCCATCAGCTGCCAGTATATATTCCCCTTTCTCTACCAATACCTGGTCTTCTGCCCCTTGATAGGAGCCTCAACATAAATATCCCGTCTCGCCATTTCCCCCACCAGACCGTAGCGCTCGACGCACGTTCCTTGGCCGTTTTGGCTCAAGTGACCAGGCCCAGAAGCACTGCACCTCACGGCAAGACGCAGGGTACCTACCGTGAGCGCAAGGACAAGGCGGCGACAGAAGTACCTCCCTTGCTCCAACACCGCGGGCACTTGGCACCCACCCCGCCAAAAACGTCACTTGTCGGGCTTAGGTACAGTACCTACCGCCCGCTTCCCTTTCTTGACTTTTTGCGATTCAGTCTGCAACCTTCGAGACTTTTTTTCCTTCCTCCCTTTTCTCTCTCGCCCACACCTTCATTATCTGTTTGTTTTCTCCTCTTACCTCCTACATCCACCGTACGGCAAGTCATCATCCTACCATCGGCGCTGCCGCCCCCTCCTCCAGGCACCCAGCAGCCTATCCCCAACAGCCACCACAAGCTGCCCTCTCGCAGCGCCGCGCCTCTCGCTCGCCCAGCTTCTTCGCCCAGCCCAGCTTATCGAGTCCTACGACGAGGATGTCGTCATCGACACCGCCACCCACGACCGACACGCCTGATGAACCGCAGAGCGATGGATCCAAGTTGCGCACGTTTTTGGGTATTCTGAAAAAGTAAGAGAGGCCCTCATGCTATCGAGGATCCCCTTCTGCTGCGATAGCTTCCACCGCTTTCCTTCACCCCTCCAGGGAGAGAGATGGAGCTTGCTTGCCCTTGTCAGCGAGGTCGGAGCTCCCACCTCCCCATCGAGCGGAGCATGGCGGTGGAGGTGAAGGGCCAGACTCACGACCAGACGGGTTCGAAATGGACATCTCGAGATTTTCAATGCTGACCGCTTCTTGCGCGACAGGTTCATCGGCGTTTCAGACCTTGCAGCAGTTAGATTCTCGCTGCCGTCGCAGCTGCTCGAGCCCACCCCGAACCTGGAATACTGGACCTATCTCGATGCCCCCAATGCCTTTATCGCCATCGGCACCTCGGACGATGCCCTCGACCGCATGCTCGAAGTCGTGCGCTTCTGGCTCACCAAGGACTTGAAATATGCCAAGGGAAAGCCGTGCAAGCCTTATAATTCGTGCCTGGGCGAGTTCTTCAGGGTACGTGATATACAGTCGACACACCGCCACAACAAGGAACAGGCCATCTTTGAGAGGACAGAGGGACTGACAGTGGTCTAGTGCAATTGGGAAACCGAAGACAATGCCCCCAGGATCGAGACCTCGGGTCTTCAGAAGACCAATGGCACCCCCAAGGGCAGCTTAACGAACTTGAAGGTGGCGGCGGCGGCCAAGGGCGACAAGAATGCATCATCCGTGTCACTCTCTGTGCCCCAACATGGCAACTCCAAGGACACCAAGCTCGTCCGCGTCTCATACCTCACCGAACAGACATCCCATCACCCTCCCGTTAGCGCTTTCCACGTCACCTGCCCCGAGAAGGGCATCACCGCTCGCGGTTTCGATCAGATCACGGCCAAGTTCACTGGCACCTCGGTCAAGGTCCTCCCCGGCGAGCACAACATGGGCATCTTTATCAGCCTTGATAAGCGCGACGGCGAGACATACCAGCTTACGCACCCTGCGGCTCACCTGGGTGGTCTTCTTCGCGGAGCCTTGAGCGTCTCTGTCAGTGAGATGGCTTACATCACCTGCCCCAAGACCAAGATCAAGGTTATCCTGCACTACATCGAGGAAGGTTGGCTGGGACGGACGACGAACAAGATTGATGGTGTTGTTTTCAAGTACGATCCCGAGAACGATACCAAGACTCGGGTGCAGGATGTTCCTGATGAGGATGTGCTCGCCCGGTTGAGCGGTCCATGGAAAGAGAAGGTTATTTTCACTTTGGGCCCCCGACCTGTTGTAAGTGGTTTTTCTCGCTGGTCTGTTATAATGGAGATTAACTGTGGCAGAAATCGGTCCCTGTTGAGGAGCAGTTTACTATTATCGATATCGAACCTCTCAACGTCGCACCCAAGGTCATCCCACCCAAGGAGCAGCAGCTGCCCAATGAGTCTCTCACCCTCTGGGGCGGCGTTACTGAGGCCATTCATGCCAAGCAATACGGCAAGGCTACTCAGGTCAAGGTAGAGCTGGAAGAGTCTCAACGTGAAAAGGCTCGTCAGCGCGAGGCCAACAAGGAGACATGGCAACCCGTCTTTTTCCAGCACGTCACAGGCAACGACGGCAAGCCGGATCTCACCGATAAGGGCCGTGAGGTCCTCGAGAGGGCCCAGAAGGGTGATTGGTCACTCGAGGGTGTTATGTAGAAGACCAATTCCACTTTTGGGAACGATACCAGATAAGGGCCAGGACGAGACACTCTTGTCCCAGAACATGGAAGGATGAAGTCGACATGCTTGTTTTGGTTTACACCGTACACTTTTTTGTTTCTTGTTTTTTTCGCGTGTCAGAAAGGCACCTTTGGAATAGATAGACTCATTGCGCCGAGGTGTAGCACGGGGTGGTCGAGTTGCAGTGGTTGACTGACCACGGGGCAGCGGATGCATGGCGGGCTTGCGCACTCGTTAATCGGAGTTGTAGGAGTTGTTATTCGGTTATGGACTGTTGCTTGTTGTAGATAGCAAAGTTCTCAATTCATCACATTCATGTCGAAGTTCTGTTCACTAGAGGATCATCGTGTATAACGTACTTGGGAGCGAGTAAGAGGGTCAAAGCAGAGACACATTCATATCGTTACACATATCTTGACATGTAGTTTGACCTCGTTGGATCTCATCCTATTGTACAACAAGAGCGGCATTTCCCATTCCCTTCATTCAACACAAGATTTCCGTTTCAAAGACTCCATCTTGCTCTTTCTTCTCTTGTGAATCTCATCATTTTTTAGCTGATAACAGCCCATTTAAGCATCAATAAAGGCCTTGACGTTGCTCAACCACCGGGTGTACTCGCGCTGCTCCTTGACATCGACATAGTCGGGGACAAAGACGGCGAGAGCCTGGGTGATGCCCCGCTCCTCGAGGAATCGCTCCATCAGGAGCTGGAGGTCGTCGTCGAGGCTACCAAAGGGAGGACCGGGGTAGACGTCGGCGCGCTTCTGGGCGGCCTCGGGGGACTCGACCTTGGCGACCTTGGCATCGGCGTAGTAAAAGAGGTTCTCGACGACGACGTTGCCGTCCTGAGCGGTGGCGTCGATGTTGAGGGCGCCCTCGGTCTTGCCGGGCTTCTCGATCACGATGGACAGGTTGATGGGGGCGGCGGCCTCGTCCTCCAGGTCGTCCTCGAGCTCCTCGTCAATCTCCTCGTTGGCCCGGCCGCTGGACTGGGCGCTGCGCTGGCTGCTGGGGTCCTCCTCGAGACCCTCCTCCTCGAGTGCGTTCTCCTCGGCGTAGGGGTCGTAGTTGGTGATGTCGGCGATGGAGAAGCTGACGGTGATCCTTGAGACATGTTAGTGCTGTGATGGTCCAATTGGTTCTGTAGGGACTCACTTCTCGTCGCCAAAGTTGCGGACGAGCTTGACAACCTCCTGTCCGGGGGTATCAATGAGCTCAAAAGCGCTGTTGTTGAGGAAATCCTTGATGCTGGCGGGGTCCTGCTCGTTGGCCTTCATGTCCTCCTCGATCTGGATCTCGCTCTCAAGCTTGGCCGAGAGCTCGCCATCGGTCTCGGAAGCAGCAGCAGCAGCAGCCCTCCGGAAGACGGAGGTGGAGAAGGCAGGTCGCAGAGAGGAAGCCTTGACAAAGGTGCTGGGACGGGCAGTCTGTCGGAGGGCGGCGCCGGAGAGGCGGGCGACGACGCGGGGCGCCGACCTAGCGACGAATCGAGCGGAGAACATTGTGACTGGGTATTAAAAAGAGAAGGAGAAGAAGGGCGAAGAAGGAATTGGCGTTGAGGAGGAGGAAGAATTGGAATGACCTGATGTTGGGGGGTTTTTTTTTTGTTGTACAAGAATGAGATGGATGCGAAAAGCTTCAAGCTGCCCCTCTGAATTTTTTTGGCACCGACACGGGACGAATCGCTCGCCCGCTAGACTAACAATTTGCCCGGGTCCAGACTGGAGGGATCTTCCGGGCCACTGTGGGGGTCGTGGCGATCACGTGGCTGTCTTTACTCTACGACTCGCTGAGTTTTGACTGATGGTTTCTTTTTCACTGCATCTTGGCTGCAATAGAGGCTGATTTGAGTCTAGAATTGGAATATGAAGAGTCAATGTGTTTTTATTTATCAATTCGCTTCTCGCTGTGTTCCCACGTGTCTATCTCATCAATTCATGTGTGTGTATCCCCAACATCCAGCACAAGGTGTCCCGGCATGAGCCTCGCAAGTGGAAACCCCACAGCTGCTCAAGACCAAGTCTCAAACCTGATCAATTCGGTGCTGAAAGTGAGGCATCCGACCAGAGGCCTGTCCAGGTCCGCCGGGTGGGAGATTCCATCTGCCAGGTCCCCCAACTCGCCTGAGTTTTCGTCTATCAAACATGCCGGACGCCAGGCAGTTGATACCTATCTCAAACAACCTAGTATGTCTGATTTGAAGCCGGCATGAAACCTGCGCAGGTCTATCGTGAAGGGCTTGGGTGTATCCGCCAATTGTGGGCAACGTCGAAAAAGTTGGACAAGATGAGCCAAGATCATTCAGATCAAGTCTCGGGGTATCGTGCTCGGACGTGAGTTGCTTTAGTGGTCCGAGGCAGTAATTTTTTGGTAGTTGAGTCAGCCCCAGGTCTCATAAAGGGCCCTTCACAGATCTTGAGACTCAGGGGTAGTCAGTATCTGTGACACCGACGTTTCTTGTCGTTTTAAAGCTCCCGGTAACCAGGTCTTCAGTTGGTGCTGCCAGTAGGGAAAGCAGTCGGGCGAGCCTGGCCTTCCTTATTGACCTTGGCCCATTTCAACTGGGGGAGATACGACCAAGAACCCTCCCAAAGATGGAGGGAGTTGACAGTGTCGGCATCTTGAAGGTCGGGCAGTACTTTCAAGGTATCAGCATGGCAAAAAACTCATATGAGCGAGATGACTTACCGAATCCGCCCTTGTACTCATCTTCGAGAGTGGAAATCTTGGCCTTGAGAAGGTCCTCCCTGGCACTGGCAGGTCGACCAGGACGACGAGTCTTCTTGACGGCGTTGTACTCCTCATCATATTGATGAACATATCTAGCAACCCAGTTAGAGAGTGCCGAAACAGTTTGACATTGGAAACCTACGTGTGAATCATTTGCTGAATCTCTTCGAGTTCAGGAACGCCCTTGTTCTCCTTGACACGCAGGGCCTGCTGGAAAAAGGCAACACGTTCAACTGCATGCAAGTCAGTTATGACTACATCTCAAAATGTCTGCTCCAAGTCACATACCAAGCGGTTGCTCCTTTCTGCTCCTCGCGGCGGCCAACTTCTCAATGCGCTGATCTCTCACACCAGCCTTGTGAAGGCGCAGCGAGTCTCTCGACTTTTCGTGAAGAGCATTAACAACTCCATTTCTCTTCTTGGAGATTTGCTTTCGGGTCTTGCTAAGCGAAGAAGGCATCTTGACTGGCGTGTCGAGCAGATGATGTTCTTTTGATCCTGTATAAGTTGCGCTGTGTGCCTCTGCAAGGATTTTTTTTCGTCGGGGTCCTTTTTTGGGTGCTCCACAGGTTGTCGGTGTACAGCCTGTAAAGTGGCGGGTATATGCCGGGGTTAAATTGGTTGCAGCTTGCCCCCAGGTGAAGAACATGTGTTTTTGTATGTGCCGCAGCTGTGTTGATATTGGAGGCTGGTGAGTCGACAACAATAAACATGAATAACGCATCGAATACGTGGGTTTTTCTCTTTGGTTCTTGACTTTATCATCGTTGAGGCCATGTAGCTGTTGCCATTCTTTGTGGATCTCATGTCCATGTGCCATAGATTGGATCTCAACTTAATTAATGTCTCGGTTAAAGATCTTCTAGAACCAGCAACGGGTGGGTTTCCAGGGCCGTGGTTCACGCCGAGACGAGATATTCGATAGAATCCGTTGGTTTATCATATCCATTTACTGTCAAATTCATCAACTGCCTATCAGAAGCCATCATCACGATCCTCCCTCGCGTTTGGCGTTCAAAAGTCGCATCGTCATGGCGGGGTCAGGTTGCTGGGGAAATGCCAGTGCGGCGGGAACTAATTCTTTCCCAGCGCTGTTAGTGGTCGAAAACGACAGCACCGCGCCTATCGACGCGCCCATTAAAACCGCTGCTTCAGGGGGTCCCGTTGGGTCCTCCACTCCACTGTCCCGTCGCGTCCCAGGCAGGGGCAGACGAACTTAGCCGATGTACCCTGCCTGCCCGCCGAGCCTCCAGCTTCCACACAAAACATCCTTCGTCCTATCCCCACCGCCTTTGGACATCAGACTTGATCAGCTTTTGATACCGGACTACGCTCTAAGCCTTTTCACGACATTCTCTCTCGCATTCGCATTTGCCTCGTCCTTTAGCTCGTCCTGTACTTGTCTTCCTACTCGCCAAATCACGCTCCTCGTCGCCTTGAACGTGCTGACCCGACATCGCGTGCCAATCAGCTTTTCGACGCGTCCTCTAGCTCACCTCGATGTGTCGTTGTTAACGTATGCAACTCCGAACCCGCCTGGCTTGAAGCTGCCCGAGTCCCTGCCGGGGGCAGCGAGTGCAAGCTCGACGGCCTGCCATCGCCACCGACCCTGACACGAGACCTTCAAGATGGGTGTAACCGGTACGGCCCACACCAATAGCTCCTCAATCACCTCGAATATGATATTGACCTATTATTAGGACTTTTGCCGCTTCTCAAGTCTATCCAAAAGCCAACGGAGCTCAAAAAATATGATGGACAAACATTGGGTGTCGACGCGTACGGATGGCTTCATCGTGCGGCCTATTGTTGTGCTTTAGAGCTTGGGCAAGGGAAACCGACCCAGAAGTAAGTTTTCTCACATCAATCAAGGTGAATGGAGGTAATTGAGACTCTTCAGGTACATCAATGCTGCCATGATGCGTGTCCGCATGCTCCGCCATTTCGGTGTCACCCCCTACATGGTATTCGACGGCGACTATCTACCCAGCAAAGCTGCCACCGAGGATTCACGTGCCAAGAAGAGAGATGACAAGAAGAAGGTGGCCATGGAGCTCCTTCGAGCTGGAAAGCCTGCTCAAGCCACGCAGGAGTTTCAGAAATGCATCGATATCACACCCGAGATGGCATCCGCTCTTATCCAGCAGCTGAAGAAGCTCGATATCCCCTACGTTGTCGCCCCATACGAAGCCGATGCACAACTCGTCTACCTCGAACGACAGGGTCTAATCCACGGCATCATTTCGGACGACTCTGATCTCCTCGTGTTCGGCGCCAAGAAGCTTTTGACCAAGTTGGACCAGTACGGAAACTGCATCGAGATCAATCGCAAGGATTTCTGCGCCTGCCGGGAGGTTTCTTTGACGGGATGGTCCGATACCGAGTTTCGACGAATGGCTATCTTGAGTGGATGTGACTATCTGGATGGTCTTCCGAGTGTTGGGTTGAAGACGGCATATCGAATGCTCCGCAAGACCAAAGCTCCCGAGCGAGTAGTACGCATGCTTCAATTCCAGGGCAAGCGAATTTCGGAAAACTACTTGACCCAGTTCTACCAGGCCGAATTGACCTTCCTGCACCAATGGGTCTTTTGTCCCAACAAGAAGCAGCTTGTTCACCTCACTGATCTGGATGGGACGCGGACTGCTGAGGAGATGCCTTTCATTGGAGCCTTTGTGGAGCCTGAGGTTGCACGGGCGGTGGCCAAGGGTGATATGAATCCCATCACCAAGATGCCCATCATTCTCCCCCTGACGCCGTCCAAGAGAAGACATTCACAGACAACTTCTAGCTCTGTTGATGAGCCCCCGCCCATGAAGCCCATTAACTCATACTTCAAGGGTCACCAACGGATACCTATGGGTGAGATGGATCCCAATTGCTTCGAAGTCGACCCTCAACGAGTTTCGCAAATTACCGGAGGAGGATTGGTTCCCCGGGTGTTCCCTCTGCCCAGGCCCTATCTTGATGAAGCAACTCGACCCACGGCCCCAGGTCCTTCCAACCGCACACGATCATCGCCACGACTCAACCGCCGCCGAACTGAGCCAATCTCCAGTATGCTCGCTCGGATTGCTGGCAGCCCTACCAGACGTACATCTTCTGTGGGCATGGCATCCAGCTCACCCGCGCCCCCTTCGACCGATACTATGAGCAGGCCACCCAAGAAGGCCCGTCTGTGTGACGACAACGAAGCCGAGCCCGTCGATTCCCCGCCAGAGAGGAGCAAGTTCTTTTCGGCTCCAAAGCTACGAAGAAGCCCGAGAAGGGCCAAGAGCGATGCTTACCTGCTGTCAGACGACTCTCTTGACGAAGCACTTATGGCTCTGCCCGACTTTGAAGGTTGGAAACCTACCGACAAGTCAAGAAAGTCTATTTCAGTCTTTGAGGAGAGGGAGAGCCAGGAAACCACCACCACAAGCGACAGTTTCACTACCACGGCCGACAGTGAGAGCCAGGCATCCTTCAAACATGAACAGACACCAATGTCATCTTTTGAAGATCCCATGCCTCCTCCTCGATCAACCGCGCCTCTCTCGAAGCCTTCCGAGACTCCCTCTCGACCCAATCTCCGCCAGTTCTCATACTCGAAACCAACTGAAACCCCTGCTTCGGATGTTTCGCGACGCTCCTCGGTCTTCAGTGCGGCATCCACTCCCTCAACCGCGCCTTCAACTGCTGCTTCTCGAATGACGCCGCTGCAGCGACTTGGTGCTCGCGCCCTCAGCGGTCCCATGTCTCCCAAGCTGCCCAAGCCACGCAACAGCCTTGACAGGCAGTTCCTCTCGGGTGTCCCTGTGAACCCAGCATTCGTTCCCCTCCCAAAGGTCAACCTGAAGGAGGTGGAGCAGTTGAACCGAGGCAGCGAGGATCAAATCATCCCCGATAGTGACGATGAGGATGAGGATGAAGACGAAATCGACCTTGCTCCCCCCAAGAAGCTCAACCTCTCCCGCTTCGCATTTGCATAGAGCGTCGCCAGCTCCCTCTCATACACCCCCACCTGGGGCCGTTGAAGCGAAACTTGAATTAATCGACACGGCATTCCTCCAACTTTTTTCTTACTTTGCTTTTTTTCTTATTTCTTGTACTGCAGCTGCTGGCCGTCAGAACGCATCCCATTGCTTGCTGTTCTGTAGGTACATACAACATGTGGTCGGAGTTAGCGTCTTGTGGAAACTCGTGCGTATTGAGAGACACAATGGAACATTGTCGGTGTAGGAGACAGAATATCAGATAGGCGTTTTTTTGGCATCAAGTTTTTGCCCAGGGGTTTTACAATAATACCCGCTTTGCAGTCATTCAGAGATGTTTTCAAAAAGTGAACAAATGGGTAGCAAGCACAAAAGCCTCCCATCCAAGTCAGACCCAGACTCACAAAGCGCACAAGTGGTGAACCGATCGTTCTTGTCAAGAAAAGAATAGCTGTGATTCTGTAGTTGCAAAATATGCTGTGATTCTTTATGTACTCGCTGAATAAAGGTCGTGATCCATGTCGATGACTGCGTTGCGTTGCAGAAACATGTCGTAACAAATCTATGTATGAACCAAGACCCAAACCTCCCATCCCATTCCATTTCATCCCATCATCCATCCACGTCCACTGTAGAGGACAACCAAGCCAAGCCATTTATCGTCATCATTGCCTTCTTCGCGCCAACGCCTCCAGCTATGGTGGGCCCAACGCCTAAAAATACCCACGCCTTGTGCCTCGTCTAGTTCTCATGATGGGTAAGAATGACTGATGACGGACAACAAAGAAAAGGGGGGTTGCAAAACAGATGGTAAAGACAAATTTGTGTTGAAAGGTGGCAATGAGGCTGGGGAGCCATATACCACGGTGGCAGTTGTGGCCTGGTTATGATATGAATGTCGCTGTACAGCAATGTCGCCGTCTATAGTTGTTGCACTGATCTCAACTTCTTGTGCAAGGTCAAGGTGTCTCGTCTCAACCGTATACTTGCCTATCCAGCGAGTGGCCAGAATACGGCAGTTGTTAAAATACTGTTCAACCAAGTGCTGGTTGGTTGGGGGCAGTGGACGCTGTCATGATGCAGAGTTTTGGAGCATTTCCCATGGTGATGCCTCTGGCTTTAGCGACGGGGGGCGGGCCCAGCAGTCGTGGGAGCCACGAGGTCCGAGTTGAAAACCCATTCACCTGTTGAAAGGTCAGTCAGTCATGCCATCATAAACAATACACGAGTTTCCAAGAGTTGCACGTACCTTTGGCCAAGTTCTCGGCCGTGTCGGCGAGGAGAATCACACGCCTCTTGTTACAGTACGAGGTCTTATCCATGATGTCCACCTTCAGCTTAGGGTCGGACAATTCTTGAATAGGCTTCTCAAACATCTCGGATAGATCTTCCACGGCCATTTCCAAGTCCTTCTGGTTGTCCTCGAAAATCTCAGTAAGGTTGTTTCTGGCCAGGTAAAAGGCAAAAGCGTAGGTCCACTTGAGGGTCTGTCGGCAGGTCTGGAGGGCCTGGGACGCCGAGTTGAGGTACTGAACCTCGATCCAGGACATGCCCGAGGCGGTCTGAAGCTGCACCATCTTCTTTTCTGTCTTTTGGGCAATGTCCTTATCCAGCTTGGCCGATTGCTCGTGGTTGGCATAGCGGTTGTAGTAGTGGAGATAGCGCTCAAGAGACGTTCGCGACTTAGCTTGCGCATCTCGTGCCTCGGCACCGCTCTTCTCCTCGTACCGGTTGCAGTTGTACCAACTGGTGCCGTGCTCAGACCAGAGCCCCATGCACATCCAACAAAACTCGTACTTGCACTTCCGGCAGGTCATGTGGTTGCAACCTCCGTTCTTCTCGATGGTCGAATTACACTTGGGACACTCCTTTGTGTTTGCCGATATCCAATTCGCCGTTTCCGAGTCGTCGGCACATTTCTTGAGCCATTTCTTCACCAGTTCGCAAGGAGCAGGCTGGTGATCCGGGTTGGGACAGCCAAAGCAGAACCTGTAGCCGCAGCGGCACTCGACCGTGGGGACAATCTTGTCGAGATCCTTCTTCTTGACGCCACACTCGAGGGCGTTGGGACAGTCCGGGGCAGGACACCACTTAAAATTGTCCTTGTCTTCGACATATGTCCGGTTGAGAAGCTCCTGGTAGCGACCCGACAACTCTTGCGTCACGAGCACGTCAAGCGAGGCCGAGTCTAGGATACGACCGCAGCCGTCCGAGGGGCACTGGATCCTAGCAGCCTCACCCTCTTCCTTGATCTTCTGGGTCAAGTAGTGGCGGTAGCAGTCTACGCAGTACCGGTGACCACACTTCATAGCAAACGACTCGAGGCCGTCTTCATCCTCGCAGCAGATGTCACAGGTAAAGCCAGGGATGACTTCCAGCTGTGGTTGCACCGCTGAGCTGCTACTCAAGCCGGCAGCCTCCAGGACCTTTTCAGGGCGGTCCATGTAATCTTCAAGCAGGCGCTCCTTGTTCCATCGGAAATACCGGAGCAGGATTGCGGCATCTTCTTTTTGCATGTCCAGGATCATGTTGACCTCGTTGATCATGTCATCTTGTTGGCGTTGAATATCGGTCGGCTCGTAGACCTTGTAGGATACGACGTGGGCGGCCTGTCTCTTCTTATCGAGATCCTTGGCCAGACCAAAGTCGGGATCGGGCTCGTCAAACTCTTCATCATCGAAGTCTATTAAATCGAATCTTTATCAGCAACGAGTATACCAGTTATTTAGAGGGGAAAGGTTACCGTCACCAGCCGACATCTCGTCCCCACTGTCGTCCTGCATCAACTCGTCGTCGCTCGAAAGAGCCGACATGTACTCCTCGTCCGAATCCATCGGGTTGCTAGCTGTGGTGACCGGGGTCGGGGGCAGGGCGTGGTTGTCCGACACGGCGGCTGAGGCGATAATTCTCTTGTTGGGTGTTTCGTCTCTGTTGGCAGAGGTAATCGTCGCCTCAGCAGCCTTCCGCTTCCTCGTGGTGGGGGGAATCGTGGCGGTTTTTAAGGAAAAGGTTGAAATGGGATGGGTAGGTAAGGTAGGCAAAGAAGGGTCGTCGGAGGATGAGGACGAGGGCGCAGATTTCAGAGGTGGCGTTGGCGTTTGCAGCCGGGTGACTAAAGCTACCTAGGGAGGTGCTGTAGTCGTGACGGTAGACCGAGTCAGAGAAGGGATCTGAGGCCAAGAGGGGTGCCTGGGCAGCAGGTATGACTATGACTATGACGGTGTCGGGTCGGGGCCGTTGGATCGGGGACAGGCAGAAAAGAGACCCAAGAGTCCAACGTGGGAAGCAGAAGCGTCGCGAGGCCAGGCAAGTCAATGTGCTTACTTTGGCTGTCAGTCCGTTCCGTTTGTCACGCGGGAGTCGAGGCTGCGAGTCGACGAGTAAGAGGATGGCGTGACACACTCTAGGCTGGCGAGCTGAATGAGACGGGAAGAGAGGATTGAAAGTGGGAGAGAAAAACGTGGTTTGCCGGGTTTCTGATGATGAGATCAGAAGTCACCCTCATTCACACACAGACACAGACAAGGCGCACGGCGATTGCGGGTTGGGCGGGTACGGTGTGTGGGGGGATGGATCGGAAGGCGCGATACACAACCCAGGCAAGGCAAGGCAAGGCAGCAGGCGGGAAAAAGCTCAGTGTCAGTGTCAGTCATGGATGTGATGTTCGGGCCATCATGCCAGCGCGCCAGTGATTTCCTAGGCCAGGCAGAGGAGCCGAAGAAGGCGGCGACGGGACAGGTGGGCTCTGGACTCTGAACTGGACGGGACTGGAAGCTGGAGGGAGAGGTCGGTGGGGTCATGCATTCGATGGATGGTTTGTTTCTGGTGCGCAGCAGCAAAGTGCCACCCGTGTACCGGCTAAGCCACACCAATGAAAGGGCGCGACAGCTGGCGGTCAATTACTCAGACATTTGTTTCTGGACATGGAGCTGAGCAAATAGTTATTAATTCACTTACATATATTGCCCCTTTCCTCTGTCAATAGCCTTTCCCCTTCTTTTCCCCTTTTGCCTCCCCTATTCCGTGCTGCCTTTGTCATGATACCTAGTCATTCCAAATGTTGGCTGATAGTGGCTGACACCTGTCGGTCTGCGTTGGCCGAGAGTGGCTGGACTCCACCCCTGGATGACGCATGTACACGCGAGTACGCTTCCTCCCGAGAATAGCTGTTGTCTTGCGGTACCCTCTCGGCTCTATTGATATTTTTCGATATCAATGCATGTTTGAGGTGATATTATTATTGGCAGTGATGAAATTTTGCAGTCCAAGGTACTGTATGGACAATGTTGGTGCATGTTTCTTCTGTGGTCTGGACATGCATGAGTTAGGCTCTCGGGCAGTCCGGAACATTCAATATTGTCACAATTCACAATCATCAGAGCGCAGTTCGCGCAGCCCGAATAAGAGATTGAAATAGAAACGGCACATTTCCACGGCAATTCTAGTCAATGCGAAACCCACACCCAGAAACAACAACCAACACAGATCAGTTGGGCTCACCGGAGAGCAATTTGGTATGAGATGGATCCTTACCCTGGACCAATACCAAAGTCCCCAAGTTAAAGCTTGTTGCCTGCCTAGGAATTCCACCGACTCGCCTATCCGGTGGGAATATGGCCCAGGTAATATTTCTTAATTGAGTAGTTGCCGATGTTTAGATATGCAGGTCTATTGACATTGACAGGGGAGGTCTCAAGTCTGTCAGGCAGCAGTGAGCTCTTCACGGCTCACTCACATCCAAGCACAACATCGTGACAGCATGTTAGACCAGGGTTGCCAGTGGAATGACAGGACCAGAATTCACGGTGCTCGTCAATAGACGCCCCAGCAGGCCGAAGTGCCACTATGCAACCCGTAGTTGCCATAGGCAGCCAGCTTACCCTACGTAGTAATCGACATTGAACATAGGACCAACCATGAATTGAGACAGGCACTCACAAAACACGACAAGATTCTTGACGTGTGGTCGCAAGCATACAGTCTGTCACACATGGCTAGATGATTTATTCCCGGGTGATTTGGTGCTGTTTCAGGAAGACCAGCCAAGTCTCGTTTCATCCGCTTGTTCGCGCCTGAAACTCCATCATATGCAAAGCCCCGTTCGCTCCGTACCTTAAAATAACTCGAACCTCGCGTGCCAGAGGCCGCCTCCGAGACCGTGTTTTTTTTCGCATCGGCGCCTCGGTGTAGAGTGCCCCAGATCTTCAAACCGTTCTCACAAACCACGAGATGTAGCGCCAATGATAGGTGTCAATCGGCCGTTGACTGGTTAACCAGCAATGTTTCGTGGCCTTTGATGGGTGGCCTTTGGCCTCACTAGCTAAGAATTGGAAACTTGGTTGTCGCTGCAGCAGAGTATGCCTCGCATTGACGCGCGCTTCTTTAAAGCTGGCCAGATGCCCCAGACCACAATACCCGTCTCGCATGCCGCTGGTGTGGTCAGCTCTTTAAACGCCCATCCCACGGCGGACTTTCGTTGACGCTCATGGCCGCCGCAACTTGGACTAGATCTAGACAGAAACTGGAGTTTTGCGCGCGCGTGGTCTCGCAGCCATCGTCCCAAGGTGAAGCGGCCCGACCCCAGATCCGTCTGGTCGGCCACTTGAACCCGAAGCTGTATTGTAAACCGGCCGAGTCTTTTCAGCCATTGGCAGACATCATTCGACGAGATCTATTAATGGAAAGGGGGTGGCCACAGTGAGCATTCGTTGCTAGAGATGGCTTCCATGAGAAAGGTCTTCCAAATAGGTCACCTTAGGTAGGAAGGTGCTTCACCTCGTGTCTTGCAGATATTCATCGTGTACCAACCAAGCAGGAGCCATCCGTCATCAGTTCGTAACTCGTTCCAAATTCAAGGGTGAAAGAAGTTGTGGCAGGAGCCAATAGTGGACTCGCATCTCTTCCAAGACACTGCTCATCCTCCTTCTCGCAACCACCCCTGCTCCTCCATCCATCAATGGCATCACAAGATGCAGTTCACAAGGACAGACAGATACAGCCATTATCCTCGTAAACGTCAATCGTCAATCGTCAGCCGCAGTCCAGCCGCAGTCACTACCCGTCGTCAGTCGTCAGCACCAGACAGGCCTCGTCGCTGTCAAAAGAGCTCAATCTGCCATGGGCAAGATCCCATTCGCTCGGCAGTTTGCCTCCTCGCAAGCCAAACCATTACCAAAAAGCCGAAAAGCCGCCCGACATGGCGTTTTCCCCAAGTGCTCCCCAGGCCTCGCTGGTCGAATCACATTCCTCACCGACCATCTGGGCCAGGAAACCCATCCCCGGCGCCAGCAACGGCGCCAGCAGCCAAACAGCTTAAGGGGATCCAGGCCAGTGCAAGGATGACGGGCCACTGTTCAAGGGCTGCTCAACTTCAAGGGGGCTTTCGAGAATAAAAAAAGCAAGAGGCCAGGCATTCGATCGCCCCCTGCCCTGTCGAATCATCAAGCCTCCCGCCCCCCTGCTAGTCGCTCGTTGCTTGGGTACCTCCTATTCTCGAGTAGGCGTAGGCCGGTGCCGCCGCTTTTAACGCGACTATGGCAATGGCTCCTGACCCGCCGCCAGAGTCGCCCAATCCCAATTAACGATTGGGCCCTTCCAACTTACAGCCATCACAGCGCCTGTGCCACCACCAACCACGGCCCGCTGAAGCTGAGCAGTTGAGCCGCCGACCAACACCTTCATACTAACAGGACGCGATGGGCTTTCTCGAGAGAGCCAAGTTCACAAGACAGTCTGTCACAATCCAAACCGAGGCGTTGGCTGGCAGTCATCCGGGTCAAAGGCCAACTCTGGAGAGACGGTTTGCCAGCATAGCCAGATAGCTTCCCCATCACCAACACAGAGCGCCATCCACCCACCCATTAGCGGCTGGCAAGAAAAGAAAGAGACAAAGTGACATGCCTGAGCATACTGCATCATCCGTCCTCACCCGCTAGAATTTGTCCCGCGCAGGGCATGGAGCCTACCATGGACGCAGTCACATCCTCGCATTGCACGCTTGCAGCCCGCGCAGACTGAACTGGACTGGGCTCGACGCAGCAGAAGCAGCAGCAGCACATCTTTCTGGCGATGGATGGATGCTAGACCCGCCCCTCCCCGGCTCGCGTTGTCGTTTCTCGTGCAGTTGCCGCCCTGTCTGCCCTGTCTGGCCAGGTTCTGCACCTCCGTACGCGCCTGTTGCTGGTGCTGCTGGTCAGCTTGTCCTCTGCTCCCTGGCCGTGTCTTCCACACGCGCCGGCTCCATCTGGGCTGTATCCTGTATGAGTCCTGCTGTGCTGTGCTGTGCTGTGCTGTGCCCATCCCGCATTGTACGGAGCACGTCGTCCCCATCCCCCCATCCAATCCATCTGGCAAGGGTCAATCAACACACTCCCCCTACCCCTCCACTCTCACCCTCACTCCTCCATATCCGTCATAGCTCCACCTTGTTCCAACTTCTTCACACCCCCTTCAAGCGCCCACCTCTACCTCTTCCACTTTGTTCCTCCCGGCGCCAAATACTTGACGCAGCCCTTCGTTTCCTTATAATCGCCTGGTGCTGCCATCTCCCACACTTTTGCTTCCACCTCTTCCTCAGTCAGTCTGTTCGCTCGCTGCTCCCATCTGCCTGCATTCTTATTACCTGGGGTTGGCTGTTGGTTCATCTACCTCGACGGACCCTGCCTACAGTAAACTCCCCGACTCAGCTTGATCGACTTTAACCGCCTTGTCTCGACAGTACAATACATTCAGCTCAACTATCATCACCATGCCTACCGCCAAGCCCAAGTTGGGGAAGCTCACCACCCCCGTCACCGCTACCTTTCCCTCCGAGATCACTTCGGCAACTCCCATCTCGGCCATCTCGTTCAACTTCAAGCCTGACCCGGACTTCATCAAGACGCCCATCAGCCCGCCTTCAGCCTATACCGACTTCCTCACCAAGGCTATGGCTCTCAACTCACCAGCTCCGAGCTCTGGTGAAACCACTCCCGACTCTATCCCGGACTCGGCAACCAGTGAGGAAACCGACGCCTCTAGCAAGTGCAACATCACTCCGCCATCATCGGCTTCCAGCACCAGCTCAAAGACCTCAACCGGCCCTTCCCCTCCGGCCACGGCACCAATGGTGCCTCCCAGCCCATTCACCTACACTGCTCCCATGTCTGCCCCTCCTACAGGGCCTGCTACCTTTCCCAGCCTTAAGCTGCCCCCAAGCCCTAGCGTGGCTAACTTGGACTCGCCCTTGAGCGTGTCCACTCCTCGCTCACCCTTCAGTGCCAGACCAGTCCACTCAGTATTCGACTGGGACGCCGCCCTCAAGGCCCGGTTCGCCGAGAAGAAGAAGGCTTCACGAACCAGCGTGCGCCACATCCGGGAGGTTGTGACAAGAACCGTCACTTACACACCGAGAATGGCACCTGCGCCAAAGGGAAAGCGACGCAAGATTGAATGAGTCGGCAACACTACAATTCACGCATCATACCGACGACCAAGAGCATATATATGCTCATTCAACACACAAACTTGACGATCCTTCGAATATGACGAAATTTCATTTGTTTAGACATGCATCATAAGGGCCATACCGAAAACGAAGACGCGAAGAGAGGGCGAGACATGGAATAGGCCTGGGGTACCTGCAGGAGCCAGCATATGATTATGAGGCTCCCGGCATTGACGCCACGGGCATGGATGGGCGCAATTTCACTTCACCACCACTCCCTGCTTTGACATTTATTCCGGCACGCGTTTTGGAGGAGTCGAATTGGTTACGAGGCACTACTATTGGAATTATACTGGAGGCACGGCTGGAGGAGTTTGGCGGCGTTTTTACGTCCTTTTTTATTTTTATGACCATCTTGGATATGGCCTTTCCCTGGGGGCAATGGCTTATACTGAGAGGTTCGATACCACGACATGTGAAAGGATTCGGCGCGGGGGAGTTGGTTGGGATCAGGCAAGGAAGGACTACAAGGCAAGGCGGCGAGGTGGGACCGACCCAACAGCCTCGATAGCAAGCGCAGGCATGGGATGTGATAAGATGGGAGTGGGAGAGGGAAAGGCTTGAGGGTTGGTGGCCCGTGTCTCGGGCACACGAAATTAGCTCTCGGTAACGTGTTTGTCCGCAAATTAACAAAGCCATGGGCTGTTTTGACCACGATTTTGGCGTGTGCTCTGACTTTTGTGGTGTTGGTGAGGATAACCGACTGACTAGTCGGTGCATTGTCATCTGAGAGATGGGTTCTCACCGACCAGATTGATGTGATTGTCGAGTGTTTTGCCAAGCATTACTGAGCATTGTTTATTTTGCCATATTAGAAATGGCTTGTTTGTTTACAGATCTACCATGGCCTCGAGAATGGGCCGCTCATCAACGGGAATATCTTTGCATCGCGAATCTAGGATGTGCAAGGCCTTTTTCGTGACCGTCTCTCTCCACTGCTATTAGTAGTAATATCCCGCTCCAAGCCCCGCCCAGACTCGTTTTGATTTTATTCTTATTTTACTTAACATCTATAATCCTGTTCCTTGTATAATAGAATGACTTGATTATACTGGGGAACTTTGGGACCGAGATTGAATGAATCTGTACTCGAGATTGGATTACGACTGCCCTTTTCTTTGTCTGGGTTGCCCACACGCACCCCTGGACAAGAACTGATGGAGACCTGTCAAACTACAACGAGAACGGACCTGCTCTCAATTTTTTCTTCTCTTTGCTTCTTAGGTGCGTGCGGTGCGTGCTTTGATGGTGATGAACAGAGGCCCACAGGGGCCAGATTTTAGGCCGCATTAAACGGGATTCGTAGGCAAGGCAGACGAAAAGCAACAAGTGCCAACTGCAAGGTAGATTTCCCATCCATCGTCCTTGTTCTCTGTCTCTTGCATATTCCTCACTCTGCTTCTCACAGAGATTCTCTTCCAGCCCCCCAGGGCCTCAGAAATCCTTCCAAATCGTCGTTTCCACTCTGCCGGCACCCCCCCTTGACTAGCCTGGACGCCGGCCCCAGCCCAACCCAGCCGAATGGATGTTTCCCTTTTCTCTGTAAAAGCGGCGTGGCGACTGACTGCCCTCTCTCCGTCGACGGCGCGACCCAGCACCCTGGTCCGGCGGGACCCCAGAAAACTGCCCTGGCCTGGGCTTGCCTGTAAGCGCCGGGCAGAGGGCGCCAGGAGGCGGGCGGAGCGTTCCATTGGCTGCTGCGGGCGAGCTCATCACCCACCACGGGGCCGGGGGCTGCGTGATTGGCGGCGTGCTAAGCGCCCGGGTCTGTGGGTCGACGATTGTGAGCATTTGGGGGAGATGCAGAAGCGTCGTTTCTCTGTCTATGCCTCTGTCTGTGTCTGTGTCTTTCAGAGACTGCGTGTCGGCTTCAGGTGGTCCCTCTCGCTCCCTCGTTTCCAGTCTCCTCGCTTCGTTTCGCGCATGCTACCCAGCTACTGCAAGAGGATGCAGCGCGCTAACCTCCATGCTAGGCTGTTTCCATTCAACTCTTGTCACCCAGGTGAGCAGGATGTGAATCTTGACTCTGTGAGTGAGTGAATATCCATCCGCCTTGTCAAGACCTGGTTGGCCATTGTGCCACATCAAAGACATGTCGCGGTTGTCATCTTGTACATCACTTGGCGTGGCCTGTTCATCCTCTTGTCCCGGTCGATTATCTCTCTCGATCGTCACATCGATGCTGCCCGTGGCTCTAGATCATCATGGCCCGTCACCCACAGCACGGGCCCGAGTGGTAGCACTGTCTCCCAGGCTAGGTACCCCGCGTGCTCTGTTGCTCTCCCTCTCCCGCTCTCTCGTGGCATTCTCAGTGTGCGTGCGTCTGTGTGTGTGACCTCTCTGCCCCCCTTCAGAGGCTGGAGACCGCCCACATCACCAACGACTGCGTCCAACCGGCAGAGGGCGCCAGTGACGAGATGCGCATGTGGTGATGTGATAACCCTGCGCATCACACCGTCTCCGGCGCCCCCCCTTCCATCGCTTCCATTGGCTACCACCAGACGAGCTTCTCACGCCAACGCCTCCCGCCTATCTGAAACCGACGAGGGCCTCCTTAGCCCTGAGACTGAGATTAGAAACGGGTTTGAGACCGTTGCAACCAGGCTGCTGGGTGGAACATGGCCCTTGGACTCGTTTCCAAACCGCTTCGACCGTTGCTAATTTTGGCTCTTGCCTCCTTGTCGGTTCGAGAAGTCGGCCTTGGACATCTGCAACCTTGTGGACGGCCTGGTTTTTCGTATCCCGATATAGCTTCTCCTAGGCCAAGATTGAGTTGACCCCCGTAGCTCAAGTGGACGCGAATGCACGGTGGAATTGCAGGGCCGTCCGTCACCTCGAACCCTCGCAACTGTTCTCTATATGTGATGCAAGATCACCAAACCATCCTTCGCGTCTGTAAGCCCTGTACGGAGCATGTATGTAGGTACTGTATGCAAGAATCCTGGGATCGGAATTAATCCACCTCCCTCACCTCTTTTGCCACGGCGTTGCAGAGCGCAACCTTGACCCCTGCCCCCGTGAGCACATGGATCCAGAGCCGTTGAGTATCACTCAACCTGTCGTTGGCGCTCTTGACCTCCGAGAACATGACTTCTCCTTTTGACTTTGCCGGCCCGTCGCCGCCGTTCCCCGTTGTGTCTCTGGTCCGCCAGAGAATCAGGTCGGGGATACCACCACCCCTCTGCCGGTACTCTTGAGCCATGACCTTGCACACGGCTGCGAGAGCACTACCCTCGAAGCATTCCACTAGCTCCACGAGGTCTTCAATGTCAAAGTCCCAATTGAGACCCACCACGCTCGTCCTCTTCTCGCTTTCCCTCTCCCAGACTTGGCGAAGGAGCCGTGGTCCTTCTCCATTGGTAATTTCAACCAGTCTGTGGTTGATCTCTGATGCCCTGGCTGGGTAGAAGGCATCTGTGTGCAGGTCCAGAGGGCACATCTGGTATGCTGTCTGAAATACGTTGGGAATGTAGAGGAATATGATGTCGTAAAAGAGATACGCAAAGAGGGTGCGGATGATGCCACCCTCGGCGTGATATCCCTTCCAGCCCTGCGCCCGGTAATGACTCAAGCACATCTCCTCGACACTGCACTCTTCTTGGCAGTCGAGCTCGTCGAGCCAGACTGTCTGGCGACCGATCTTAGTAGGAACATCCCTTTTGAGCTGGACTCCTTCAACGGTATGCTCCACGGGCTTCTCGAGGTGCACATGGCCAAAATCGTGCTGTAATCGACGGGGAATTCGCAGCTTCTTCTCTAGCTTGACCAGCCGTTTCTGAAGGTCGTAATGGAATATCAGATGACAGTCTGGGTCTTGAAGCCCAGCCTCGCATGTGGCCACTGCGATCCTCTTCCAGTGCTTCTTTTGTTGCTCGACATCTGTGGTCGTGGGGTTCGGGTCCAGCGTGGGCATGTAATGCTCTTCCAACAGGGCTTTGCGCTGATACCATCCGCCTCGCCTAGCCATTTGGAACAGCCGTTGGTCGAGAAGCTCACTGAGTAGCTCATGTTCCCTGAGATGTTCCTTGAGTTTCCCAAAGATGGGGGCGGCTTTGTGAACGATTCTTGTGTAGGAGTGGCCTGGCGTGAACCGTCTCAAGTAAGCCCCCTCGCCCATATCGTATACGGTCTGCTCTTTTTGTCGTTCCTCTTCGACCAGGGTCTTCCACCGAGGGTAGATCTTTTCAAATATTCCAAGTATCTTTTTGTGACCCTCTTCCCCAGGTGGCCCGTTGAATTCCATGATGCTGTCGACTTCGGCTTCTAAACGGATACCGCTTTCATACTCCAACAAATGCATCCGCGATGCAAAAATTGTCGAACTTCGACAAACGATGTACTCTGGGTAATGGCGCCGTGCGATCTTGGCAAGAATGATGGTCGTGAGAGACTTCTCTGTCCATTCGGTTGACCGGTAAAAGACTAGATGGACACGCTCAAACAGCTTAAACACTGGCGGCGATAATCGAACGCAGGGACCCAAGATGGCGAGAATCTTTGCCAAGAAATGTTGATCACGGTTCGAGTCTTCTCGCCGTAATTTTGTTTTGGCCACCGCTTTTGGATCCTTGTTCTCTTGATCTTCAGAGGTTATCGATTCACGACTGTTGTGCCTACTGAGGCCCACGGACATCAGCCCAGTTTGCTGATGGCTCATCCGCACAAGAGAACGAATGAGTTCTGTTTTCGTGCGCCCTTGGAACTTGGCTTCTTTCGCCAGAGCCTTCAACTCGTCGAGACTTAGCAGAGTGGCAGCCTCTTCCACAGACTTGATGTGATCTTCGGATGCATCTGCAAACGTGAAGGATTCGCCAAGCCCTGACTCTTCAAGCTCAATACCCTCGACGCTGCTCGTGGGAGGAGCGGTGCCAGTCGGTAATGTACGAGATGACTGTAGAACACTAATCGCAGTTTCAAGGTCAGAGATATCGTTGTGATAGCCAAGACGACTATGGCGATGCCACCACGCCGTCTTTCTCAAAAACAGTCTAACATAGCTGAGCATGGTAAGTGAATGCCCTATACCCTCAGCAAGGAGTGAACGCACAGATATTGAGCTTCATAGTCCAGACCTTGCCATTGTCTGAAGACCTCATTTTCTTTGTCATCAAAGAGATGAGACTCCTCTTCCAAAACGGTGTCTAGGGCAAGGTTGAAGGCATCCGAATAGATGGAGCTTCTTCCCTTTACCCACCGAGGTTGTGCTTTCTCCGTGGTATCTTCATCTTCGGCACTTGCTTGTGATGACTTGATCGCCTCGTACTCCTCGATGGCCTTTGTTCCCCCGTCAGTGGGTGCCATTGCATTCTCGAAGTCAGTGGGCCGCGGGCCGTCAACATCTTGATCCTTGTCTCTGGCAGGGTCCTTGTTGGTAGACTTTTTTCTTGAAACAATTTCGTCTTGAGAATGATGAGATTGATCTGAATCTGAATATGGGATTTCTCTTTTCGCTCGCTTTGAAGGTCTGTCTTGATCCGGTTCGTTTAAAGGGGTGGGACGAGCAGGAGTGCCAAGCTCGCTCTGAGGTCTTGGGAGCCTCGTCACAAATGCATCCATACTTTACATTTAGAAATCCCAAGATCAGAGACGTAAATGTAGCTTTTGGTATGGATTGCCGTTGCTTTGAAGTCGATGGACGCGAGAGACCAAGGCAGACACGTCACTTGTTAAGACGATCAAACACGAAGTCACCTGACACCGTGCTTTTCTCTTAAAGCGCCCTGGCGCTCTGGGTGCCCGACAATCAACCGGCGCGATTCAACATTCGCCCGTCAGCCATCGCACTCTCCCGTCTACTCAGGAGCTCCTCTCACTTCGGATCAAGCAAAGGAAGGCATTTACGACCCTGCGGCAGTATTCAAGATGGCCGAAGAAGCTCAAAAACCCGAAACAACGACCGAAGCTCCCCAGGTCGCAGCCTCGTTGGACTCGGGCGCTACCAATGGGCTCCCCGCGCATGCTGTGCAAGCAGAAGCTCTGCAGAAGGATATTGTCATGTCTGATGCGCCAGCCGATCAACCTGCTGTAAGTCTTTGCTCCTATCAGTGCCAGCTATTCACAGCAGTTGCGACTCGAAGGACCGTATGTTTGTTCAACACAGTCCATTCACCATCACTCCCTACCTTACTCCCCTCCAACTCCTCTGTTGGTACTGCGCTCCTCCAAAGATCAACCTTGCTGATAGACGCGAAAATGAAGTCCTCTCCAGCCCCCGTCGCCCATGCGCCCAGCCCTGTACCTGCCAGAACCGGAACTCCAGCGCAAGGATCTAGAGCCGCCTCTGCGCATCCAGATCCAGGTTTCAACATCCCCGCCGAGGCTCCCCCGCATGGCGATTCAACTCGGCAATATCTGAACACCAAGGTTACTGGAGTCTTGCTTGAAGGCATGAAGCAGCTGGCGAAAGACAAGCAAGTACTGCGATCTCTCTTTGGCGACAGCAACTAACATATCGCCAGGCCGAACGACCCTCTTCGAGTATTGGGAGAATACCTCCTTCAAAAATCAAAAGAACTTGAGGGAACTACTTAAGTGCCTAGGCGTCTGGTCACGGTTCTGAATCACTTGGGAACGGGATATATATATGGCATAAATGGCGTTCAGGTTCGAGTTTATCAGTCACTGGGTTGAGTAAGCCCCATTGAATACACATTTCAGCGGTCGAATCGCTTTCTATTTGAGCAGTCTCGACTTCGCCGTGGTCCTCCCAGACAGGGCGGGCGCATAAGCATCATGGCTCTAAATGCAAGTTTTTCCATCATTTGTCCCCCAACTCCGTGACCCGGGAAACCATCATCACCTCCATCCAGGCGGCCGGTCGTGATTGATTTTTTTAAACCGCTTAAGCGACGATGGTGCTGGCAGTAGCGGACTCGTACTTCCAGGTGGGGGGCAGGATACCGACGGTCTTGTAGTAACGGGCAAGACGGTGGATTCGGGACTCAATGAGAATGAGGCGGAACTTGGAGTCCTTGTCCTTGCGGTTGCGCTCAAGGTGCTTGCGGACAGCAACAGCCTGTTGAACCAGTTAGATCAGAACCACAGAAAATTTTGACAGCATCACTTTACCTTCTTGATGAGCATGTACAGATCCTCGGGAAGCTCGGGGGCGAGGCCTGTTTAATCACTCTGTCAGTCTTGACCGTACAGAGGCATAAGAGGAGAATTTTCTCCAGAGATATGTTTCCACCACCAATGTGCGTCGCGTCTCTCAGGGAACCGTACCGTTGGACTTCAGGATTCGGAGGATTCGGTTACCTGTCCGTCAATGTTAGCAGCACGCTCTCAATTCTCGCTCCTTGGAATTTCCATACCGGTGACAATCTTGACCTGGGCAATGCCGTGGGAGTCACGGAGGACGACACCGATCTGAGAAGGGGTAGCACCCTTTCGGGCGAGCTTGCAGATCTGGTCGACGACCTGGTCGGGGGTGGTCTTCAACCACGCGGGGGCGGCGCGGGAGTAGGGGAGAGCGGAGGCAGAAATGCCCTTGCCCTTGCTGTGAAGTCGGCCCATCTTGTCTGTTTGGCGGCGGCTGTGGTGGTGATGCTGCGGATGGTAAGTAGTCGGAGTCGGCTTGGTCGAGCTTCGTAAAAAGTTCGAGAGATTGCGAGAAAGGGCGGTTTGTGTGGATCGTTGGAATTTTTCGCTTAGGTTAGGGCAGGAGTGGTATGTGGCATGAGCGCCACACTGGGTCCCCAGCCACAGGGCATGCAGGTCTGTGGAGTCTAATCACGTGCCCAGATCCGAGTTGGCGATATGTCGCGTTTTTCTTCTCGTCGCGACTCAAAGCCAACCTTTTCTTTCGTTCAACCTCAAGCTTTATGAGCTTTTGAGCTTCACGCAAATTCTCCTGATTTTGGTAAGTCTGGCTTGATGACATCTTCCCCTTTCCTTTGTCGACCTTCCGATGATGATAGAACACATTACATTTTATTCTGGTACCTCTTATGTTAGAGCCTTCGGGCTCAATGAATGAACAGGACTTCTGATTTCTGGTCATTTGCTTGACTTTTTCTGCTTCATTTTTCTGTCAATGCATCAGCGCTAACAGATCACAGGTTTCCTTTGCCCGATATTGTTCGGCAGACGTAGTTACATATAGTTTCATTGCTTTCCATTCTCTGGTTTGCATGCTCATAATACCAACTCAATTATCTCATACTTGCACTTGCACATCCTAATTGACATTCCAATTGAGTGCTTTCATGTGATTGATTCAATTCAACAATGCTGAGCGATGCCCTCTGTTTTACATTTTCGATTGATGACCTACCCGTACACCGACTGAAGACTCCTGCCCCTCAAAGTATATAGCCAAGGTTGACTGTTGATTGCATTGCTAGACCACGTCCCCTTGCGCACCCACTATTAAATATCCATGGATCCATTCTTACCAAGCACCAACGTCAAAGTTCTCCTGCATGTAGTGTTAGCGCTGAAGGAAGCATTACCAGAGAGCTCAAGGGACATACCTCGGGGAAGTACGTGGTAACCACGGTTCTGTCAGCGAATTTCCGGCCCGCCAAAGCCTTGAGCGCCTTTGTTGTATCTTCGATGGTCTCATACTTGACAAAAATCTTACCCACGCCGGCAGACTGCCTGCTGCCGCCGGTAGGCCGAGGGATCTTCATGTCAATGATCTTTCCAAACTTGGAGCACTCCTCTTTGACGTCCTCGCAAATTTCTGACACAATGTTAGCAAGGAAAGACACAGCAAGATGATATACATACCTTCGTAGTCGTCATTGTCCAACAGTTCCTCGGCAGTAACCATGTTGAGAAGTTGGAGCACCCGGCTTCCTTCAACATCGTTGGCAGTCTGAGAAGCCAAGCCACTGATGGCAGTGATACCAACGTCGAAGTTAGCGACCTGTGTGGGACCAATGCTCGCCTTGGTGACCTTGAGCTTCTTGCCTCCAACATCCATGCCATTCAGAGTGTCAAGAGCAGTCGGGTTGGCAGCGTTGGGATCCTGATATTCGGCAAAAGCGATACCCTGAGTGACCTAGTTAGAATGGCCAAGAAGTTACGAATTTCAGTACTCACTCTGGATTCCTCCGTTCCTCTATCCTTGACAAGTACAAACGCCTTGGGCTTTCCGAAAGCTGCAAGAAGCTCGATAACCTGATCCTCCGCCAGGAAAGGGGGGATGTTGGTGATGCATAGCTTGTTGATAGTATCGGGCACAATGTTGGAGACGACATCGGGGTTGTAAGAGACCTCCTCAGTCACGGCAGGCACAACGTAGTCGCGAGGTCGGCGGATCTCAAGACCACGAGATTCTCCGTTCGAAGCGCCGTTCGCATCGTCCGGCTCCATGGAAGTACCATCCAGCGCAAGGGCGACAGTGGCTTCTGAGGCTTCCCTGAACTCCAGGACAGCAAAGGAGCGATCGTTGGAGAACTGGCACAGAATGCAAGGATCCGTGGCGTCAATGACATTCAGGCCGTTGAGTTGAAGGTTGAAGAACGATATCAAAGCCTCCTCGCTCGTGCCTGATGGAATCTTGGAAACCAAAAGACGCTTCGATTGGCGAGAGTTGTTAGCCTTGAGGCCAGCGCTCGTAACCTGACCACCGGGCTGGTTCATAAAGGCTTGAAGTTTGCTAGGATCCATGGGCTGCTGCCGAGGAGCGCCAGGAAGAGGGAACATTCCCGATAGCTTGGCCTGTTCGGCTGTGACGTTGTCGTAACCCGGGGGCTTGATATCCCACTGGGTCAGGCGACGCTTGCGTTCCAGAATGGGCACGATGTTGGTCAAATCCGGAGTAGGCTCGCGCTTCTTGGGCGGCGGGCTCGCACTTCGGCGGTTCTCGTGTCTTGCACCAAATCCCTCCTCGCGACGGTCCCTGCCACCTCGGCGACGGTCATCATAAGGATCTCGGTCTCGCCTGTTCGGCCGTTCGTCATCGTCGCGGCGAGCGTCCCGACGGGAGGAGCCCCGGTCTCGATCCCATTCACGGTCGCCTCGCCTGTCACGGCCAGAGTATCGATCCTCGCGCTCGCGGTCTCGGTGGTTTCGGCTAGAAGAGTAGGCGTCGACGTCGCCTTCGCCCCGGCGATGGCTTCGGTGGTCTGGTGAGCGAGAGCGCCTGCGATCACGGTCCCTGTGACGGTCACGACGATCGTCCCTATCACCTCTGGAAGACTAAACATGGTTAGGTTGAAACACGACGAGATGGAGATGCGTTTCCTTACAGGATAGTCTCGTCCCCTGCGCCCGTCTGCGAGAAAGAAGGGTTAGCGACGCGACGCGAAAGATGGAGTCAGGTCTGCGGATAAACTTACCCCGCGAAGAGTAACTGTCGCCGTTCATACTGGCTATACAGACAGGCGACTTCAGAGAAAATAATGAGTCTCTGAAATTGATGATGTTGTCTGGTTGGCAGGCGGAGTTGGTTGATTCAAGCCGCAACGAGGTTCCAGTTCCAAAGAGCTGTAGGCATCGCGCGAGGCTGGAGCTTTTTTTGCCAGATGGCGCTAGTTCTACTTTGGGTTAGTGCGAATCGGATTCTAGACCACCTGCAAAACCTCCCGGCGAGCCGGCCTGGATTCAGGGGGCAAGCCACTGAAGGACCTGAGTGAGAGTCGCCACCAACGGCATAAACTCATACTTTTTCACCAATTCACTGTCAAATTCTCTCTTTCGTATTGAAACGTCTTGCTAAGAAAGACTCAGACATAATCGAATTCCCATAAATGTCTCTTGTAAAACTTCCTCACTGGCGCAAGCTGCCGGTGTCACTAGCCGAGCTGTGCATCAACACCACCCTACGTTGCGGACAGTCATTCAGATGGCGAAAGATTGATCATGAATGGTCAGTTCTTACTCTATTCATTATGATCATAAGGTTCTAAAATCGGTAGGACATGTACTTTGCATGGGCGCATCCTTCATCTGAAGCAGGACTCAACTCATCTTCATTACCGAGTCACCTGGCCAGCTGTTAAGTCCCAGGCATCACCAAAGGACGACACTGAGGCCCTTCTGCGACACTATTTCAGTCTGAAGCTGGATCTTGGAACTCTGTATGAGCAATGGTCGGAGGCGGACCCAAACTTTCGCAAGAGAGCACCCCAGTTCAAGGGTGTCCGCATTCTCAGTCAAGATGCTTGGGAGGCGTTGATATGTTTCATATGCAGCAGCAACAACAACATTTCCCGAATATCTCAGATGGTGAGTGGATTTGAATCAAGAAAGTTGGCTCACTGACTCACTATTGTGTCTAGGTTCACAAGCTGTGTCAACACTATGGTCCACTCATCGGCCACGTTGGGGATGAGGCTTTCCACGATTTTCCAACTCCCCACGATCTGACAGGTGACCGAGTAGAGGCACATCTGAGAGAACTCGGATTTGGCTATCGTGCCAAGTACATTGCTGAGACGGCACGGATGGTTGCCAAGGAGAAGCCAGACAATTGGTTGGAAACCCTTCGAAACCCAGCACATCCAGGCTTCAACACGCCTCGAGTACCCGATGAGCAACATGCAACCTATAAAGAAGCACAAGAGCAACTTCTCTCATTAAAGGGAGTCGGCCCAAAAGTTGCAGACTGTGTCTGCTTGATGGGCTTGGGATGGGGTGAATCTGTCCCAGTTGACACTCATGTCTGGCAAATCGCTCAACGAGACTACAAATTTGCCAAGTCAAAGGCCAAAACATTCAACAAGACTATGTACGATGCTGTGGGAGATCATTTCAGAGCGCTATGGGGAGATTATGCTGGCTGGGCCCATTCTGTCCTTTTTACGGCTGACCTCAAGGAGTTTTCAAGCCAAGCGGTGAAAAAGGAAGAGGCCTCAGTGGTAAAGATCGAGGAGGTCTCCGTGGAGGAAAAAGTCACCAAGAGAAAGAGACAACGTGTTTCCGTCACAGAAACCGAGACTAAGGTGAAGAAGGAGGAGACAATTGTCGAGTTGAAGGATGAACCAATGCCAGGTGAAACTGGACACGGTCGAAGATCAAAGAGACTACGCGCTCTCGCGATGAGGTAATACAATTTGTATGGCTGTATTACCTATGTAAATAATTTTTGTATGAACTCATGCTGTTGTACATGATCATGTCACCATCAACCACCTATGAGAAAGCTAGACATGAATGGAGGGCAGGCTGTTGAGTTCTGGTCTAAGGAGTGGAAATCTACGTGACTTGTACCGAGAAAACGCATTTTCCTCAAGCCATCACGGCCGGTAAATAGTCAATTGCTCATAGAAAAAGTCACCTACAATCAAATACGTCGATTATTAATTTCCCGAGTCTGAATCTTCGGCATACGCATGATGGAGAATGCCTACTAACTAGGTTGGTGGGGACGCGAATCTGAGGGTCTCTGTCGCGTGCTGTCCTCTTGTTCACCACTCATCAACCCACCAAAGATGAATAAAATACTTGCTATTTCAGATGTAATGCGTAGACATTAGTAACTTATTTTACATCATTACAAAACAAAAGACATAAAACCTGTTGGCAAATGCCGGGCTTTGATATCCGTCTCAGGCACTGCACATGCAATTTTAGGCGGCTAAACTGCGGGTCCCCCTCGAGTCGTTACTTTTTGCCTCCCAAACAGAGCAACGCAGTGCATTTTTGCGACTAGCCATCTCACCAGCAACTCTCCATGCGCAACGACAACGCCGGGAGCGCCCCTTGTACTCTTGAACCGGGATGAAGCTGCGAATGCCATAAGTCAAGATGTCTGACGCGGATTTCGAGACCATCAAGAAGCTCCAGCAGGAGCGGAACGCTGCTGCTGCCGCGAAGAAGGGGTCGCGCACCTTTGATGCCGGCAACCAGCGAACCGACGATACCAAGCAGAAGCTGATCGATAGCGCCGACAATGACCTCTACGATCGCGATGGCCCCGACAAGTTTGCCGGATACCACACGTCGCTGCCGATGGGCGATGATGATGAAGAGATGGAGGGAGCTGATAACACGCGACGACTCGTCGGCCAGTATACTGCGTCGCGAGATATGATTGACGAGTTCGCCCGGGGAAGCGGCGTGGAGGAGGATGATATCTTGGCTGGAAAGGGAGAGAAGAGCGGCCGAATCGTCGACCGCGAAACCGACTACCAGAAGCGCCGGTTCAACCGTACCCTGACTCCCACACGCGCCGACCCCTTTGCCAAGGATCGCAAGGACGGTGCTGGCGAGAATGGCTCTAGCTACCGCGAGGTTATGGAGGCCCGCGAGCTGGAGAGGGAGGAGGAACGCGTTCGACAAGCCATCAGGGCGAAGCAGGAAGGCAAGGTGGATGACGACGATGCCAAGCCTATGCTCACTGATGGAGACAAGGATAGCGCTGAAGCGGAATCGGCTGACGCTGCTCCTGCTGGACGAAAGCGCAAGAAGAGATGGGACGTGGCTTCGGCGCCTGCAGAGACCGACAAATCCGAAGCAGACGACGCGGCCAAGCCAAAGCGTTCGCGATGGGATCAAGCACCTGCTATTTCTGCGCCGGGCGCGGAAGCTCCCAAGAAACGCTCGCGATGGGACCAGGCTCCATCGGCCACCCCAATGGGCAACCAAGGACTGGCCACACCGGTGCACCAGTCATCTGCTCCGGCTTTGCCCACTACCTTTGGCACCGATATCTCTGGCCGCAACCTTCCCCTTAGCGATGAAGAGCTCGATATTCTTCTTCCTGGCGAGAATGAGGGTTACAAGGTCCTTGACCCTCCTCCGGGCTATGAGCCAGTTCGCGCCCCGGCGCACAAGCTCATGGCCACCCCAGCTGCTCAAACAGGCTTCATGATGCAGGATCCCGAGCAAGTACGACTCAGCGGCAAGCCAATGCCAGCTGAGATTCCGGGGGTTGGCGATCTTCAGTTCTTCAAGGCTGAAGATATGGCCTACTTTGGAAAGCTCACCGATGGTTCTGACGAGAACGCCCTGACAGTTGAGGAGCTTAAGGAGAGGAAGATCATGAGGTTACTTCTCAAGATCAAGAACGGTACCCCTCCTATGCGAAAGACTGCCCTTCGACAAATCACGGATAATGCTAGGCAGTTTGGAGCCGGACCACTCTTTGACCAAATTCTACCCCTTCTCATGGAGAAGACTCTGGAGGACCAGGAGCGCCATCTGCTGGTCAAGGTCATTGACCGAATCCTTTACAAGCTCGACGACCTGGTGCGACCTTATGTTCACAAGATCCTGGTCGTCATTGAGCCACTTCTCATCGACCAAGACTACTATGCAAGAGTGGAGGGTCGTGAGATCATCTCGAACCTTAGCAAGGCGGCTGGTCTTGCTACCATGATCAGCACTATGCGACCTGATATCGACCACGTGGACGAGTATGTCAGAAACACGACGGCCAGAGCGTTTGCCGTCGTTGCCTCTGCTCTGGGTATCCCAGCTTTGTTGCCATTCCTTAGAGCGGTCTGCCGAAGCAAGAAGTCCTGGCAGGCTCGTCACACTGGTGTCAAGATTGTGCAGCAAATCCCTATCCTAATGGGCTGCGCAGTCCTGCCACACCTCAAGGGACTGGTGGAGTGTATTGGTCCGAACCTTAACGACGAACAGACCAAGGTCAGGACAGTTACCAGTCTTGCCATTGCCGCTCTGGCCGAAGCTTCTAACCCCTACGGTATTGAGAGCTTCGACGACATCTTGAACCCGCTGTGGACTGGTGCCCGCAAGCAGCGAGGCAAGGGTCTCGCAGGCTTCCTCAAGGCCGTTGGCTACATCATCCCCCTTATGGACGAAGAATACGCCAACTACTACACCAGTCAGATCATGGAGATTCTTCTTCGTGAGTTCTCATCTCCAGATGAGGAAATGAAGAAGGTTGTCCTCAAGGTGGTGTCCCAATGTGCTGGAACGGATGGTGTGACTGCGGGATACCTTAAGGAGCATGTCCTGGATGAATTTTTCAAGAGCTTCTGGGTACGACGGATGGCCTTGGACAAGCGCAACTACCGACAAGTGGTGGAGACGACAGTTGACATTGGCCAAAAGGTTGGAGTCAGCGAGATCGTTGAGAGGATTGTCAACAACCTCAAGGATGAGAGCGAGGCGTATCGAAAGATGACAGTGGAGACTGTGGAAAAGATTGTGGCCAGCCTGGGAGCGGCAGATATTGGCGAGCGTTTGGAGGAGCGACTTGTGGATGGTATCCTTCATGCGTTCCAGGAGCAGAGCGTTGAGGACGTGGTCATGCTGAATGGCTTCGGTTCTGTGGTCAACGCTCTGGGAACTCGCTGCAAGCCATATCTGCCACAGATCGTCAGTACCATCCTATGGCGACTGAACAACAAGTCAGCAACGGTTCGACAACAGGCTGCTGATCTCATCTCCCGAATCGCCATGGTAATGAAGCAGTGCGGCGAGGATGCTCTCATGGGCAAGCTGGGCATCGTGCTCTACGAGTACCTGGGTGAAGAGTACCCCGAGGTTCTTGGATCTATCCTGGGTGCTCTACGATCGATTGTCACTGTCGTGGGTATTGCACAGATGCAACCACCCATCAAGGACCTGCTGCCACGACTGACACCCATCTTGCGAAACCGTCACGAAAAGGTTCAAGAGAACACCATCGACCTGGTCGGCCGTATCGCAGATCGTGGACCCGAAAGCGTCAACGCGCGAGAGTGGATGCGAATCTGCTTTGAGCTGCTCGACATGCTCAAGGCTCACAAGAAGGGTATCCGACGAGCAGCCAACAACACATTCGGTTTCATCGCCAAGGCTATTGGTCCCCAGGATGTGTTGGCGACTCTTCTCAACAACCTTCGAGTGCAGGAGCGTCAGTCTCGCGTCAACACAGCCGTCGCTATCGGTATCGTGGCCGAGACTTGTGCGCCCTTTACCGTTCTTCCCGCGTTGATGAACGAGTACCGAGTGCCTGAGCTCAACGTGCAGAACGGTGTGCTCAAGTCTCTCTCTTTCCTCTTCGAGTACATCGGTGAGATGGCCAAGGACTACGTCTACGCTGTGACGCCGCTACTTGAGGATGCCCTCATCGACCGTGACCAGGTGCACCGTCAGACGGCAGCCTCTGTAGTCAAGCATATTGCTCTTGGCGTGGTTGGTCTTGGCTGCGAGGACGCCATGGTTCATCTCCTCAACCTCCTCTACCCCAACCTCTTCGAGACCAGCCCACACGTTATCGACCGTATCGTCGAGGCCATCGAGGCTATCCGTATGGCGGTCGGACCGGGGCTTGTGCTCAACTACGTCTGGGCGGGACTATTCCATCCGGCCCGCAAGGTCAGGACGCCATACTGGAGGCTGTACAACGATGCGTATGTTCAGGGGGCGGACGCGATGGTGCCATACTACCCGAACCTAGATGAGGATAAGGTAGACCGGCCGGAGCTGGCAATTGTGCTGTAAGAATTACATGGAGAGGTTTCAGGAGGGGGGTTGGGCTGTAGCAGGGTTTGGACCAAGGATATTTTTTTTTCTCTCTCTCTGCTTATGGATGGAGGCTTGTAATCTGGAATGCTGTGGGTTGATAAGGGGGGGAGGTTACTACTGCATGCGTCAGGGCGTTCTGATAGATGATCGATCAAAATGGCTTGGGTGTTTTGAACTGGCGGTGTTTGTATCAAAGGTGACCGTGACCAGTGATTGTTCAATTGGATGTTTGAGCTGAGTGATCCGCCCCGGCCCCTATCCGGAGGGTGATCTGTTTTGACGGAGGATTTGCCAGAGGGGGTCAAGGCCCTGGGGGGGGGATCAGACTCGCGGTGTCTATTGCAGGGGTGGTAAAGGATGAACCGAGCTGGTGGTTTCACGCGAGAGAGTGATCATCATGAGGAGGCAGTTTTGCTACATCGTCAACGTTGCAGTCAAAAGTGATTTTCGATCCATATCCATATCCGATCAGCCTCAACCGAGAAGAGAACAGACCAATGTCTCAAGCCCTTTCCTAGTTCTGTCATCTACCGTCAAG